CCCACGACCTGGCTCCCGTCGATGGACATGCCGGAGCGGTAGAGCTCCGCCACACCGGACATGTCTGGGACCACGGCTGGTTTGATCATTTGTCGCGCCTCGTAGCCGCTGTACGCGATGGTGGTCGGGAAGACGGGAAGGGCACGAAGTCGGGGACCTCGGTGAGGTGCTCCGGCGCCGTCTTGGCGTACCTGCCTCGGCCCATGAGAGCCTACGGGGTCCGAAGAAGCTGAGCACCGTGGCGCCATACAGGCTGATGTACGTGCACGGCACGCCGTGCCTTGCCATGGCCTGGGGCGCCCAGTACGCCGCGTAGTCGGTGAGGACCCAGTCCGGCCGCGATGTCTTCGGCGCCTGCAGGATGTCCGATAGCGCAGGGAAGAAGGCAGCGTCGTAGGCCCGGCGCAGGTACGGGCGGAGATCGTCGGAGGGGAGGTCGATGCTCGCCTCAGCACCCTCTGGCGGGTACTCGACCGGAGGCAGTGAGACGTCCACGACACAGATAAGACTGGCGAGGTCCGGTGGGACGTCGATGAGCCGACGAGTGTTCCTTGGCGTGGAGAGGAAGGTGACGCTGTGGCCCTGCCGAGCTATGCGCTTCGCGAGCTCCGTGAAGGGGAGGATGTGGCCGAACGCTAGCCATGGCAGCATCAAGACGTGCATTATAGGGCACTCCTAATGCAAACTCTACTATGGTGTCTATGGCTATTTATTACCTCTCTATTTATTGATTTTACTGATGTGTCACTGTATTTATGAAAGAAAGAGGAAAAACCGAAGAAACCGAGTCTAAGATGGACTCAGACGTCTACGGTGGAATCGAGGCGGAAGAAATCACGCCCACGCGTGTTTGTGAAATCTTCCGTCGTTTCTACGGAGGCTCTCAGATCTCGTGTGCTATCCCCGTCCCTCCCCATCGCCGCCACCCCGACTGCGCAGGCTCACGCACGGTCGGCTCATACTGGCGCTGCCCCGACTGCGCAGGCTCCGCCGTGGAGCTCCAGCCATGCTACGATGCTGCCGCGCCGCCCTCCCTGCTCCCGTACGGTGCCACTCGACGCTCGGCTCCCCGCGCCTACGCGCCAGTCCGCCTCGCTGGTCCCGCGTCCGCGCAGGCTCGCGGCAACCGCTCGACGCCTGCCTCCTCGCGCCGGCGCTCCAGTCCGCGGCGGCGACGCGGTGCCTGGCGGCCCAGCCCAGGAGAAGCCCGCGCGCCGTGCAGGACCGCGCCTAGCGAATCCATCGGCATGTGCATGTACTCGTACAGGAGAAGGTTGGCCTCCACGCTGGACACGAGCCGAGCGACCCTATGGGCATGTACTCGTACAGGAGAAGGTTGGCCTCCGCAGGACCATGCGCGCCGCCGCGGAGCTTTGCTCACGCGCGGCTGCAGCACCTCACGCGCCGCCACGGAGCGCTCGCGCGGCCTCAGGACCTCGTGCCGTTGCCGATCCTCGCTCACCGCCACGGAGCCTCGCGCGGCCGCCGGCGGCCGGCCGGACCTCGCGTGCGGTGGCAGGGCCTCGCACACTCGTGTGCGGGAGGCAGGCCTTGCGTGCGTGCAGGACCGAACCCGGCCGCATAGGATCAGAGGAGAGGGATAAACAAGCGCAAGAATGATTGGTCTGATATTTACACAGATCCCTCTAACAAAAACTGCGTTGGGAAGGATAGTTTTTAGTCATGGTTTCTGGTTGTACAGAAACTACCTGCATTGACAGTTTGACACTGTCCTTATGCCGCTGTTGACGGCTTTGGCAACGGAATCCAGAGATCTTGTCAAGAAGATTATGGATGTCCTTGTTGGGTTCTTTGGCATCCTACCACATCTAAAGATTCTTCAGTTTCGGCTCTCCCAAATTCGCTAATCAAATACTGCAGCAATTCGGGAGACAGTCACGAGCAGCCACAACTTCGCAATAAACCAACCACCGTCCCACGTGTATGATGTGAGAACAAGGACAGCAAATGAATACTAAAGAAATTACTAGCACATTTACCAAACATGGATGATGGTTCTCCACTAGCTCACTTGTTATAACGAAAAATACTGTCGATGAGTTAGGGCCATGCTGAATGCTGTTTGAAAATATTGCTCCCAGTATATTCTTTCATGAAATCGCAATGCTTGTAGCAAAGGAGAACGGTGCTATAGACGGTATCAATATATGTTCCATCTAAGCATATGCGTTGCTCATCGACATAAGACCCATGCATCTACTATTCAATTGATCCATCAGGCTTGTGTATAAAAGTTTTCTAGTTGAAGGCGAAAAAATCAATGCAAGTAGAGGATCTTTGAACTCAACATAAATTGAGAATCTGACCGTGGAGCATAGTTATTAGGACTGAACCGGACCGATGGTCGACCGCTAAAAGACCATATATGCAATCGAATCGGTAAAAACCGGTTGAACTGGACCGGTTTTTCATGAAACCGGTGAACTGGGCGGTTCTCTGCGAACCGTCCCGGTCTGCAGGGTGTGCGCGTGCTACTGCAGTTTGCGTGCATTGACCGTGCAGGAACCTGGCGCGCGTGCATGCAGGGACTTGGGAGGGTGGCAGACTTTAGCTCATTGGCCGTGCATGCAGCCATGCAGGAAGCTGGCGCGCGTCACAATGTAGATGCGATGGTGGTAAACGTGACTTTTCTTTACTACTTACCTCCATTTTCGTTTACTTATCACCGAATTTTTACTGTAGCGATTTTGACCATACGTTTTTTCTACAAAAGATTTTTAAATGCATCAAGTTTTCACATATATGATTCTTTATTGAACATACTTCATTAGTGTTATATACATTGAAGTATTTAAGATTTTTAGAAAAAAACAGATGGTCAAATTTACTATAATAAAAAGTTGTTGACAAGTAAACACAAACGGAGGGAAGTACGAAAGAACCTTCAAAGTTCAAATCACCATATATGTTAAATCATATATTTAATTTATAATCTGATTGAACCTCTATGCTCCTTGCAATTATATATACAAATCAAGACAAATATTGACTATATTTGAACTCATAAAAAAATATTGACTATATTTTATTAAAAGAAATTTACCAAGATGTGGGTCCCACATGTCATATTCACATTTAAGCTATGACCATGACATGTGGGACCCATAGTTGTGCACAATCATAAAATATGTATTGGAAATTTGTGTTGATAACTACACAGGGCCCATGATGCAGATTAATTAGTAATTAAATTGTGTTGTTTACGGTCGGTGTTTTGGATCACCGGCTAGTAAATTTCTAGTTTGCGCGTCTGGCCCGGATAGTATGCTCGGAGGACACAAGGATTATATTGATTCGGGCAGAACGTCCCTACGTCCAGTCTGCTGCTGCTCGTGTTACCGGCACTGTCTGTAATAGGGGTTACAGATGGGCGAGAGATGGAGTGGATCCCAGGTCTCTGGTGGAAGGATTGAAAAGTGCTGAGAGTTTGTTACGCTGCTCAGCCATGTGCTCGTGCCTATGTCCCTGTGTTGTGTTGCGTTGTGTTCCCCTTTTATAGAAGAAAGGGAAGATGCATGTTACATCAGGAAAAGAGAAGAGAGAGAGAGAGAGAGGAGAGAATCGAGAAGAAGCCCTCTGGGACCGCCGCGTCCTTCTTCTCCTTCATGCGGGTCCGACGACGCTGTAGATGGTGCCAGGGACGGCTCCACGTTGGGCTTCTGTTCACCACTGGTGCTATGCCTCGACGTCATCAGCTGGTCGTGGTGTTCCATCCTGTCCCGCCAGACGACGTGGTGAACCGACATGCACTGTCGGTGTTTTGTGCGGGATTAGGCAAAGACAGTACCACGCACCATCCACCATTAGCGATCATGCGAACCCCGGGCGTGGCCTGTCGTGGCCACGGGTCACGTCAAGGTGTGCCCACGCCCCTTCTGGTGTCAGAGGCTTGACCCAGGCCCACACGCTTGGACCTATAGTGGTTGGGGGTGGTACGGACCCGCCGGGCGAGGCGAAACCCGCGCCCGAGGGGTTGGACGAGACGGAGCCCTCGCCCGAGGGGTCGGGCGAGACGGCTCCCGTACCCTCGGGGTTGGGCGACACGGGGCCCGTGCCCAAGGGGTTTGGCGAGGCGAAAACCATCCCTTCGGGGTCGGTCGAGACTGAAATACGTCCTTGATTATCTAGGCGGGTTGTCGTTCGCGGTCCTCAGATGCCTTCTTCAAGTATCCCTAATATTGATACCCGACATTTACCATCTATCAATTATTAATTATAGGATATATATACCGGTTCAAAGTATTTGTGGCCGGTTCAATTTATCTAGTCCAAAATAATTGAACCGGCGGTTTAACCGGTTCTAAACGGTTGGACCAGTGAACCAGTGAACCGACGGTCTCGTCGGTTTGATCTCCGGTCCGGTCAAATAACTATGCCATGGAGTCCTATAACGTAAAGGGCTCGTTCACCCACATGAGAATTCAACAAGTTAGGTCCAAAGACCATAAACCAATAAACCATAATAGTCCTTCGGCCATGACCAATAGATTAGAACCAGAAAAGCGAAATAAAAAGGGCAACGGAGCACATAATGGTGTCTGTCAATTAATTTATGCAACTGATACATACAATATCATGACATGAGGACATGTATATATATGTTGTCTCTTATACTGTCACTAATCCTCAACATAAATTTAGAAATAATAACATTACCCAATTGGGTTGTCAGTCAGGAGTCTATTTGCCACTAAACTAAACTATGTAAGTTGTTTTATGTAATTTCACCATTTATCCTAAGATTTTTTTATGCTTAAAAAATGATTGCCAATGGTCTTAAGTCTTTGAAAGTACATGAAGCAATACTACAGATTTCCTGAACCCTAAAATACCTGCTTTTGTTGTACGACTAGCTCAATTCTGCCTTTTTTCTGAAAAGAGGTTGAGAACAGGTAAAATGCAAAATAAAACTAGAATCGCCAAGTCATGCATGACCAGATAAGGCAGACAGATAAATAGAATTACGACAGAGAGCTCTATCAATCTCTTGATATGCGAGCAAGCAAACCAGTGGGTGTTTGAACTGTTTTTATGTGCCCAGATCCAATCAAATCGCGAAGGAGGAACCGTGTATCAAGAGGTGACAATCTTAACTTCGTATTCTCCAGAGAAGAGAGCAGCATCTCCTTGTAGTTTCTACGGTTCAACAGCGAAAGAATTTCTTTCCTGCCCTGCACAACACAACTAACTCAGATGGTAAAAGATGTCCACGTTGGCAACTTTGTAAAACAGGAACTGAAAATATTTATCAAGGTGCACAAACCTGGGATAGTCCTTTCAATATGGGGCCAATTCTTGGAATAGAAAACCAGTAAATATTTGGATCAATAAGTTGGCGAGTCTGGAAGGAAAAAGGAATCCAGCATAAACAGCAATATACAGTTAGTAAGAATTGGTAAAGAGAAGATAAATCATTTTATTTTCATACTAGGTGTAGAAATGGATAAGCATGAAAACAGATGATACAAGTACAGCCACATTTATTCTCAGTATATGGAATTGGAATTTGAACAAACTTTCTTGAAATCATGGCCACACTACCTGTGATAATGATCTTAAAACAATAAAGAGGAAATTACTTACTAAGAGACCAGCATTCATCAACAGTGTGATATGTTTGTCTGTTACATCACCGCCCCGTGATAACAGTGAGCACTGCAATGAAAGATATTAGATATATTCGACTATTTCTTTAATAGAAGATATCAATGAGGTGGAAGTGTTACTATAGCAACAGTGCAATACTATATCTTGGTTCATCTTCTAGTTTCATTTAAGAAACATTTGACCAGAAAAAAGGTCATCCAAACTCTAAAGAGTATCAATGCAAAATTCTGACAGAAATCTGTCTATATTTTCAATAGCAAATGATAATTACCTCTAATAAGAAAAGGTCAAGATAGAATCCTGAACAGAAGTAAACTAATACCCAATTCTTGATACTTACCAGCTCTATTTGATTTATGCTAACATCCAGTTTTGAAGGGACCACATATCTCTCAAACCACTCAAATACTTCACTACCATCTTGGTCTTTACCCCCTGAGCGTTTAATAGCAAAAGCGACCTGCATAAGTTTAATGCAAAAAAAGAAACATATAAAAAATAGTTTAATATGAAAAATGTAAAGCAAAAATGATGAATTACATATTCACTGCTTTCATACCATTTGTCAAATTTAAACACTTGGTTTTATCATAATCCCATCAAAAGCAAAGCCTTTACAAAATTTATGACTAAAAACATGCACAATTTAAGCCTGTGAAGGATTAAAGTACAGTTGAATTTTGAAATAATCGATCAGATACAAAATGTATGTGCATAAATATACACATAAGGCCATCTCTTAGATATATCCATGCCTTTGTAAGCATTTCATTTATCATTATATATACAAATATGTCCAGAAAAAGATAGGGTTTTCATACTCAGAAATCTATAGAAATCTATACAAATGCCATTGGACAAGAACACTCTTCTTTTCATCTTATGTTGTAAAAAGACAAAAAAGTAACAGCCAGAACTACATTCACATGGTGACAACAGCAGGTCAACTTTTAAAGAACCAAACTTGTCTGGTGCATACAGCTATTATTGCAGTTATGTACAGGCACAACTCAAAGATTTGCTCTAAAGACCTATGCTTCGCGAAAGGGCCTCTAGCTGAGTTGTTTAGGTGGCTTCAGTAGCGCACTCCTCAAGTCCTGGGTTCAACTCCCCATGGGAGCGAATTTCAAGCAAGGCTGCTGAGGTTAAAAAAATTCCCTCGTCTGTCCCACGCCAAAGCACAGGTCTAAGGACCGGCTCAGTCTCACATGGGCAGCGGTGCCGCTGTGTATGGGTGGGGTAGGGTTTAAGGGTTTTCTCGACCTGCGTGAGAAGGTTACGTTCTATCTTAAGCAGAATGTCTGGGCTGTCATACCCCCTCCCCCCACCCCCCAGCCACAGGTCGAGTTTTTAAAACCTATGTTTCCAACATTTCCTGGCAGACTGCAAAGGGAAATGTCTGCCTCTACCCTTTCTAGCACAGAAGGTTCACCATGCGATTGTTCAGATATATATGATAGTAGATTCGTACTCCAATTACTGTCACCTAGTGAACCTATTAATGCTGAACCAGGAGACAGACATACCTGTTTCAAATAATCATCCATGAACATGATTGCATGATCATCCTGCCCAGAACTAAGTTTGAATATTCGTAACACTTTGTCTTTCTTGAATGACTGAAAAACGAGAAGCATTCCATTTTTCAATGCCATGGTGATAACCAAGAACACTAAGTATCTTCACAAGTTTAGTTTCTTTTTTGTCATCATATTGAATCTATGAATGTGATGAGCAATAAAAACTAACATGTTAATATGGTAATTCTACAAAACAATGCAATAACAAAGACAAAAAAAACACATCTTATATAAACAGCAATAACATAAGTTTAAAACAAAACCTCCAAGTCTCTGTCAACTTGTGTTCTATCCTTCACGCTGCTATACAATTGTGACTGCAAAATGAATGGCTGTGCCACAACCTGCAAGTGATGCCAAAATAGAATATAACTTACCCAATGCCAGAAACAAAACACAATGAAATAATGAAACAGGTAGCACATGATTAACAAAGTTCACAATAGATTTTATGATGACATTTCCACAGTTTCATAGTGCACCCTCCTGTTATTTGTATGTGACCAATTTTGGAATATTTGTGTCACAAGTAAAGAGTTCTTATTGCATTTTGTCTATGCATCAATGATTCTAAAGTTGTGAGTTAAGGTTAAGGAGCTGAGGAGTTTCATATAATATAACAGGGTAAGAACAGGCTAAACACTAAGTACGGTCAAAGTCTCAGACACATAGGTAAGGTGCATCAGGGGAATTGCCCTTCAAACTGCAAAAGGTAAGGTGCAGTGTCCTATTCAAGATACACACTTTTAGCAGGAACAGACGGAGTGATATGCAAAGTAATTTGCTTCTGAATCAATCTACCTAAAGAGATCAAGATAGAAAAATGGAGAAATTTTTATTTCAGCATAGAGAATTTAGGACCACATAATGGATTAAGCCGTTTATAAAACAGATATGGCTAAACTGCCAGCTGCACAACGGATTAAGCCCTCTGCCAGCTGCACAGTGTGACTACAGTTTACGTCCTCTGGCCGTCAGCCCACTCCGCCGTCAGCCCTGATTCCACAGCAGCCTCCTGCTCCTGCTCCAGTAGCTCCTGCTCCGCTTCCACGTGGTGCTGTTTATGTGGCTCCCGCGGTGAACCAGCATGCCATGACCACACAAAGGAAGCATGGATCTCACCATCCTGCTCTCTACCATGCAAGTACTCTGTCGCCAAAATCCCAAAGATGTATCACGGTGCTCTCACTGATCCGAATTGGAGGTCTCCCATGCAGGAAGAACATGATGCTCTCCTGGTTCTCTCCTGATTAATCACACCTGGGATCTTGTTCTGCGTCCCCCTTAGGCCACTATTGTCACTGGCAAGTCAGTCTTTCCCACAAGTCCACTGCTGATGGTACGCTTGAGCGCTACAAGGCATTCCAAGTCCAAAAATATATGAAACAGAACATGTTCATTACCCACACCACCACACACACACACCAACAGCATTCCATGTACCGAACAAAGTTAATAGGGATTGCAGAACATATAAACAATAAACTGAAACATGTTTCTGTTGATCAAAGATCTTAGAGGACTGAAAGTTATATTTCCAAGGACACAAAATACCTTATCCAGCTTTGGAAACTGTGTGCGCATCAATTGAAGAGCTATCATGGTATCATTGAAGGTAAGATTATCCTCTGCATCAGGAAAACTGTTAAATATAAGAGCTTCAATTTCCTATGACTGAAGGCATGAACAGAGGAGAACAAACTGGAGAAAGAGAGTAGCGCACCAAGGCTTGAACAGATTTGATCTCTGTCTAGTGAATGTTCATTATCATCAGGAGAGCGTTGTCGCTTTTTAGAGGGCAATGAATATGATGACGATGGCTCTGTCATCTTGATCTGTTTGACTCAGTTTATTTCTGAGAGATGGCATCAAATGAACAAGATGAAATGTCGGCGTACAATGACTGGAGGCAGATCCTCTGTTCTACATCAGTTTCGGGAGATGCTTCCTTCAAACAAAAATAATTGACACAACAGCATGCCATACCTAATATTAATACGATTGCTGACTCAAGACCATCAATTTTAAACAAGAGTACTTGAAACAAAATACTGCTAGAACTGACACAGATAATGAACGAAATTTCATACTTGTTGAAACCAAAATGATTATATTGTTCAGGATTACACAAAAGACTTGTTTGGTAGAGCACCACTCCCTTGTTCTTAACTCCATTCTCTAATGGAGTGATTCTAATTGATTCTGTCGGGGAGCAGGCGAGAATTGATTCTGGTGGAGATTGAATAAAGAGCAGTGAGGAGCAGGGTTTTTTAGCTCCTAACATAAAAGTGATCCTTGTCTGCCCTGTACCAGAATCAGTGCATGATTTTGCTGTTTGGCTGAGTGATTCTCGTGGAGCTGCTCCAAGGAGCGCTGCCAAACAGTCAATGTATTGCTGATATTCATTACTTGCCAAGTTGCCATTATTCATCAAGAGAAACAACTGGTATACTTGAAAATTTTCATGACAGTCACTGTTCACTTATTAGCTGGTCAAAACTAACCAGAAATGCTTATCACACTAACCACTTCTTGTCCATCGGGACGCCAATCACACTAACGTTTTGGTTTGTTTGAGTGGCCAATAACACTATCCTAACTGCCTAAGCAACCGAGCCCCAACCATAATGACCCAGTTTTGCACAGCCGCTCCTACTGTAGCTGCCTAGCAGAGGCCGAGGCCGACAGCGAGTCCAAATGGCGCTGCAAGTTGACCCTGAGGCGGCGGAGCACCTTGGCGAATTCTGGCAGCTCATCCTCCCCGAGCTGGTCGGAGTCCGCCTCCCACCAGAACTTTCTACCTGCCTTTGCCGCGGCCTGCCTCACCGCCTTCCCGATGGCGTCCATCCGTGCCTTCTCCGTCGCCGAACGCGCCCTGGTGTCCTCCGTTCGCCGCACAATGGCCTCCGCCTCCGCGCGGTCGGCGATAGCGCTCGCATCGTCTGTGTCCTGAAGCACCGCAAGGAGCTTGGCGTCCAGCTCCTCGCCGGGGATCGGAGCGTAGCGGCGGAGGACATCGTCAACAGAGGGAGTGCCCAGCGCGAACGCCTTTTTGCCGAGGGAGAAGACGACCAGGGCGACGGGCGAGCCGCAGAGCAGGAAGAGCTCGGATGCCTTCTTTTGCAGGCCGGACTTACGCTTGGAGAAGGTGACCTCGAGCCGGCCGGCATCCTTGATGCGGCGGATCTCGATGCGCTGCCGCCCCTTGCTCGGTCTCCCCATCGCCGTCGCAGTCCGTCTGCTGTCCTGCTTCTCGGCCCCAGGGCCTATATTCTTCTTCTCAATTCTAAATTCTCAAGATGCGTTGATGCAAGGAAAGATAGGCGGCAGGGGGTATATATAAGTAGAAGAATCACTGCTAAAAATGGCAACGGATCCTATTGGTGATTTCCTTCCTTGCTTGCGTCTTTGGTGGTACGGTGCGGGTAAGGCGACGGCGCGCGGATACGATCATATATTTAAGGAAAGCAGGAAATCAATCGAGGTCCTTAATTGATGGAGGAAAATCAATCAGCACCGCCCTCCTCCACGCGGCGACTGAGGGAGAACAGAGAAAGGGGATTCGATTCGATTGCTCACGCACTAAAGATCCCGCTCAAGAAAGCTCGCTCAATTGCAATTAAACGGCACCTGGGTATGGCTTCGTGCTTACCGAGAAAGGAGTCTCTGTGTCCGGATGACCTCTGGTTCTCCGTTCTGCTCCAGTCAAAGGCGGCGAGAACGAAGAGCAGGAAGAGGGCAGCTCCACAGCCGCGAGGGTAGGAAGAAGAAACGCCCATGTTCGGGCGACGAGGGATGTGGTTGGTCTGCTGCGTGTGTTTGGAGCGAGCGACTGGACTTGGAAGGGAAAGAAGGTGGGCCGTGGGCCGTGGGCCATGGGCCGGATGTGTCAAACATTTTCGGCTTTGATTCGTCTATTATGATCAAATCTATGTCTCTGTCTCTACCCTATCTCTTCTATACAACTAAAATATATGGATTGTCAACGTCTACCCGGCAGAATCAAACACCCGGCAGGACCAAACACCCCTCAACACAGGTCCACCCGGCAGCACCAAAAACCTCCCATATAATCGCTTCCCTACCGGCGCAATTAAAGGAAAGAAACCCAGAATGCCTCCGGTTTTTGTGCATGCGAATGGAAGGCAATGTCGTGATTGACTGATCGAGGACGGGAAAAAATTAGACCATAATTGGGAAGGCAATGCCGTGATTTTTCCGTTGCAACGCACGGGCACAGTCCTAGTATAATAAAAAAATCATGAAAATGCACTAAAATTTATAAGAAACTAATATTTGAAATACAATCTCGCAAAACTACACAACAAGATTTAACAATCCATAAAACATCGACATATCTTTGTGATAAACTAATAGTGTGTTTGGTTTGTAGAATCATCTCATGCTTCATGAGGTGATGTATTATGATTTTATTCCCTGATTTTTTGTGAAATCAATATATTTCTCATGTATATACTAATTATTAACTCTGTGAGAAACGAGGTGACGATGAATCAACCTACTTCATTCTAGAAAAAAGAGGAGTAAAAAGAAGACGAACCATCTTATTTCTTAAACCAAACACACGGTGAAGCATTGTCTGGCTTCAGTTCTTGCACCTATGCACTATAGCAATGACTTGTTTTTTCTTCCTCCTTAAATTAAATTAAACTAGCGACCAATTAAATCGAGTTGTAACCGCTTAGAGACGTGCTCAAGAACATAACACAAACACATACCGGAGCCGGACACGTCTCTCCGTTCCCGCTGTGGTTGGTGCTAAAAAACGGTAATTATGCGTTCGACGCCAGCGACTCCCTCTAGACGGACGCGTGGCATGACGTACACCACAACTTTGCCTTCTTTGTTCCTTACTCATTTCTATGTCTCTTATTCTCATCCGAATGCCGCGCCTCACTCCGCTCGCTGCTGCCAGCACTCTCCCATCGAGCCCCCTGACCTAGCGCCGCTCGCTCGCTCGCTCACTCCTAGCTCCTACGCCGTCGCGCGCCCCACCTGCGCTGCTCGCTCCTCTCCCCCGCCCATCGTGCACCCCACCCACACCTCGCTCCTCGCTTCGGCCATGCGCCGCGCCACCCGCTCCCTCTCGTAGCGCCCGCCGCCCGCTAGGTTGAGCGAAGGCAGGTGCTGGATGGTTGTGGTGCTCGCGCGCCGCCGCTTGCCGCCGGATCCCACCCTGATGACCGGAATCGACCGGCCCCAGCCTTCCCCTCCCCTATTTTACAAATGTATGTTTAAAGTGTTTTAGATATTTTAGAGGTATGTTGCAATTGTTACATATGGATGTTGCAAAAGTAGGTCGAGATATTGCACATGTTGCATATTTTTGCAAGTGTTTTCAGTGTTATGTTGCAAGCGTTTTGCAACAAGTGTTTAATCTGGATGTTGCATATGTTTCACACACATGTTACAAGTGTTTTATCTGTATGTTGCATATATTTCACACACATGTTGCAAGTGTTCTATCTGGATGTTGCATAAGTTTCAAACATATGATGTAGCAGTATGTTTCAAATATTTCATCTATGTCCGATGTATGTTGCATCCAAGTGTTTCATGTTGCAAGTGTTTCACGGGGGCGCGGTGAGTGATGGGCGCACGGCCCAGGCGCTGGGGGATGGGGCGTGGCAGAGCTGGGGACCGATAGACGAGGGGCGCAACGAGCTAGGGGCCGGCTCCGGAGTCCCACCCACGTGGAGAGAGAGAAGGGGGTCCGAGGGAAGGAGCCGGGCGCAGCGACAGGGGTAGGGTGCGCGTGCGAGGCGGGGGCAAGGCGGATAGGGGTGGGCTACGCGGTCATCCATCCGGACGTGAGGAGCAGGGGGCGTAGGTCCCCACGGGCACGGGCCCCGGGTGGACGCGTGAAAAGTAGGCACGGGTGGGGGCACAGAGTGTAGGCATGCGACGGGGAAACGAATCGTCCCGGTCCAGGGTACCATCTGACGAATCGATATCCGATCGGACGTCCAGGCGCCAACAGTTCCCTAAAAAATACACGATAAAATAGGTTTTTGGGTGAATATATTTGTTTAAAATTTCATTAGTACATGTAGGCTTGAGAGTATACAGTGCCACTCACCGAAACAAAAAAATCACTATTCATACACTAATTATTTGTACCCTGAAGTCAGCGACAGAGCCAGCGGCGATCCTGGGCACGTGGAGCTCCCCTAAGCCATCTCTTAAAATTTTATGCATATATGTATTAGGTAGGATGGGCTAAGGTTAAGAGAAGATAAAAAAGTCTCTATTCTTTTGTTCGGCCCCTCCTAAATTTTTTTGTCTTCGTCCCTGCCTGAAGTAACATTGGGATTAAAAGCAAAACAAAGAAAATACATTACATTTTACACTTCACCAATGCAAATCCTCAGCCGTGGTGATCACAATGCAATTCACAATCGTAGACAAGAAATCCCCCACCACCACAAAGCAACGAAACAAAATGACCTCCACTCAAATGGAGCTCCATCCTTTTGCAGCGGGAAGAGGAGGGATGCTCTGCTCATTCCTGAAGAAGTCATCAGGATCCACCATGGCCTTCACAGCTGCCAGCCTCTCAAAATTGCCTTTGAAATACTTCTCCCCCCAAATCCATGCCTTGGCGTAGCTAGTCACATTATTGTCCTCCAACTCATTCGTCCCAAGATCCAAGCCCCTGTAGTTGACATAGCCAGTTCTTGGGTTCTTGGATACATACGGCTCCATCTGCTCGTACAGCCCTCGGACCCAGCTCATCCGCTTGTCCAATGCCGCAGTGCCATTCTCGAACCAGCACGAGTAGTACTGGATGTTGTACAGGTTCCCCTTCCGGTGCGGGAACGGCGTCGCTGACGGAGAGATGATGCCCATCCGGCCGCCGTAGGGGTCCAGGATGAGCAGCCCGGCCTCGGGCTTCTCCAGGCACGACCATGTGCTGTCCCACACGTGCCGTGGGATGGGTTCTTGCACGTAGTCGGACTTGGCCTTGATGTACCTGCGCGTCTCGCCGCTCCTGTCCAGGAGCAGCTCCAGCGGCTTGGAGCTGGAGTAGAAGGCGAAGTACACGGTGGACTGGATTCAGCTTATCTCCTCGCAGTCCGGTTGGGTGACGCCAAGGTCGGGGAAGTGAGCTCGCATGTGGTCAAGGAGGCGGCTGCAGCGGCCGAGGAACAAGGCCTCAAACTGCGCGTGCTGGTTCTGCACGACGACTCGGAGGATGAGGTCCCGCGGCAGCGCCGGCGCGATTGCTTGCCATTTGGTGATGAGATCCGAGGCGGACTGGCTTATTGACCGGCGCACGGTGAACACGGTGACTGTCTCCGGCACGCGCACGAGGCGGAGCTTCCAAGACAGCACGACACCGAAGCTCTCTCCGCCGCCACCGCGGATGGACCAGAACAGGTCCTCCCCCATGGTGGTCCCGGTTCAGGAGCCTCCCGTCGGCGTCAACGAGGACGGCGTCAATGACGTTGTCCGCGGCGAGGCCGTACCTGCGCATCAGCGTGCCGAACCCGCCGCCGCTGAGGTGTCCGCCGACGCCGACCGTGGGGCAGATCCCCGCGGGGAACGCAAGCACGCGGCTGGCGGCGGCGACGGCGTAGTAGACCTCGCCGAGCGTGGCTCCCGACCCGGCCCACGCCTCGGCGCGCGCGGAGTCGACGCGGACGTCGCGGAGAGCGGCGAGGTCGAGGGAGGCGTAGGATAGGCCCTCGTAGTCGTGCCCGCCGCTTCGGGCGCGGATGCGGACGCCGTGGCGGCGGCCGCAGCGCACGGCGGCCTGCGCGTGGGCGGGCTCGGCGGCGGCCACGATGGCGAGCGGCCGTGGGGTGCCCGGTGTGACGTAGCGGAGGTTGCGCACGGAGGAGAGCAGGAGCGCGGAGTACGACGGGGACGCCGGGGGCGCGGCGGGACGCCGGCGCCGACGAGGCAGACGAGGAACGCGTCGGTCGCATCGAAAACTGAGGCGACCGCGATGCTGCCGCTGGAGAGGGCGCAGATGGCGGCCTCGACGACAAGCTGGTACAAGATTCCGGGCATGATTGAGGATTTGAGCCCAAAGGAGCAAAATTGATGTGGATTCGGAGGGGATTTGTTCAGTACTGTACTGTACCTACTAGTACTTTTTTTTTGAACTCGTACCTACTAGTACTCGACTGTGCAAAGGCATGTGGACCGAAGGGGATTTCTTCAGGACTTTTAATTTTAAATAAACAAGTATATAGAAGAGAGACCATGGTAAAGAAAAAAAAAACTACAATCCCATTTTACCGTCGTTCCTTCCATAAGCCAAGTAAGTTTTGAATGAACCGCAGTTGCTCGGCTGGCCAGCGGCTTTGAGGATCATGATGGTCCCCGGTCCCAAACAAAATCCATAGATAGAACAGCTGAAAAATATCAACAAGGTTACACATCGACACTCGAGTGTAAACCTGATTTCCTGTGTTACCATCCATCAATCCAAAAAAAACAACCCTGACAAGCCCGCCACCGATACTCGATGGACCACTAGTAAGATGAGAAGAGAATTAGAGGACCATTATTCCAAATAACATCGTTATCAGTTTGATAGCTTTGTTCAGAGGTCGATGCCATGGAAAGCGGAACTCATAGCCAATCGTGCCATCAAGGAAGAAACAACCAAAACAAAGATGGACATGGGACTAACACAAGGAGATTCGTGAGCACCACCACTATTGGCAAAGGTCTGATTTTGTTGTGTTGTTTAAAAAGCTCTCTCTTATAATTTCGGATATCCTAATCTAAACTTTTGATAGTGACATGAACTAAAACTCTCAACTTATATTTTTGAAATACAGCGTGGCATGATCTGTCATGAAATTTCTTTTCTGCAATTTAGCAAATTTGTGATATGGAAATTTTAAACTTGGAACACAATACTATGATCTAAAACCTAAAACTTTCATTTCTGCAACTAGGCGCAATTATGTGATCTGAACATCCATATCTGAATTTATCTAATACCATGATCTGCCTGCAAAGTTTCTTGTTGTTTTCAGTACGAGGTTCCTTGATCAAGTTTAGTACATATGTATTGTACATTTGTACCCATGCATTGTTGACCATTTTCCAGATCCTATCATAGTTACTGATCGCATTCACGTGTTATTTGCATGTGCTGCTGGTAGCCACCATCGTTGGCAAGAGGGCTACTGCCTCCTCATCTATTTGTGATGATTTCTGCATGAAAGATCGGACATCCCATATTATACACAATGCATCCACATTGTATAAACAGTGGCGGACCTAGTATTTAAAACCAGGGTATGCCTAGCAAAAATATCTCCCGTTCAATATGATATAATATAATCCAAGACATAATCTAGACCTATCGGATACCAAGCGCAAACAAAAGTACCAGCCGAGTGGAGGGATGATCTAGAAATTGAAGTATTTAGGACTGTTGGAGTTTTTAGTTAAGACTTTCTGAATTATACTAGTACTAATAATTTTGGCAAAAATATAAAATCTATGGTAGTAATAGGACTACCATGACTAAGGCTGGGTCTGCCCATATGTATAACTGTCTTTCTTGGAGAATTCATGTAGTTGGATTGGGACATGTTCCATGTGAGTATAGAGAGTTCTTTTATGGCTTGGTTGCTAATAACTTCTTTTTTCCCATGCTAACAGAGTGTTTACCCGTTGGGTGCATACCACACATATCATGAACTTTGAAATGAAGGTCAAGCTTACTATTTGTAGAAAACTATTACTGGCAGAGCTTTGAGGCATGGTGATTTAGAAGTTCTACATTATCTTTCTATTAGATAAACCAGAGTATAAATGCATAGTTATGCTCTAAGTACATGATTATATTGTAAATGAGCATACACACATTGTGTGCGAATGCATGATGATGTAATATGGTTTAGTACCACACCCCATGGATTTTGAACTGAATGTCAAGCTTACTATTCGTAGACAACATTGTCGCTGACGGAGTGTTGAGGCATGGTGTTTATTGTACATGTTCAGTGATCTAGACGTTCTACATTATACATCTCTTAGATAAATCGGAGTATGAATGCATAGCTGTGTTCTATGTACATGCTTGTAAATGAACATACACACGTGTGCACGAATGTATGATGATGTAATATGGTTGAGTTGATTCGTTGTTAGCATTGTCTAAATAAATCACCTATACATACATGATCGTTGTCCCGGTGCAACGCACGGGCATAAACCTAGTTAGGGTAAAATTTCCTTAGGCATGGCAAAGTTGGCTCCAAATTATCTATTTGCCATACTTCTAAGTTTAGTTGCTAGTTGCTACAAACTATGACTGTAAATCAGACAACCCCTTAATCATTGAGCAAATCCTCTATTCTTGGATTTCAATGTAGAGTCTTGCGAAAGTGCTCAGGGAAGATTGAACACATGTTGAGTTTTCACTTAAATTATACAAACCTTTGGATGTTTGAATATATAAAGATTAGTGTTATGTCTTTTGCTTAGAACAACTTGGTTAGTTTAGATACTTTTATATATTTCCTTTACATATGTATTTCATTGATAATGCAGAATGCACATCCATTGATTTTACTAAGGGTTTTTCCTACAGAATAGATTTATAGAGCTGTCATTAAGTTTATGTAGGTGAACCAAAGTTTGTGTTCAATTACTTCAACCTAGCTGAGGTGTTGTGGGTGAGAACTGAACCGATTACGTACTATTCATGACGGTGTTCATGGGCATGAAGTACATCCCCAAATTTTGATGAGGTGTTGAATCTTATTAAGCTACAAGAACTCTTTTGAAATCAATGTAAATTCAAATACATGTTTTGTAAACATTAGGTGGTCTTTATGTTGTCATCATCTATTGCTTGTAATGTGGTTATTATAATGATCCTTGTGCATTGCAGGGATGTGCCGATGGTTTTAAGAGATTTGAGAAGACTAATGGATGATGGTAGTAAGTAACTTGGTTTAATCAGACAATTTTCATTTGTTCCATGTAAAACATTATAAATTTGATTGTTTGTGACTATAAAATCATCTATTGTTCAATCAATTTTGACTGGAGGATATCTTATTAGTAGTTTCATTTCACTTTGCACTTCGATTTACAAAACATAGTATAGATATAGATACTCACGTCACAAAAGAATGCATGTTGTACCTTATCCCCATGAGCATATTTGGAACAAATTCAGAAGGCACAGACTTAAACTAACCAAGTGCTCAATTGGCATTACATTGTGTACTTTTGCTGTCCAATTCATAATTTGTAATTTGGTTCGTCCAATTCAGTTACAACCAATTTTGGTTTGATTGATGGTCCCATCCGGCATGACCTGTTGTAGAATGAGCTAGTCCAGTCCAGCACCCTTTTGTGGAACGACTTGGTGCTCCACGCCTTTGATTCAACTAACACTGCGCCTGACGGACGGTGCGGCTCCACGTCGCAAACCAAACAACATTCTCAGCTTTGGTTTTAGGATGGGATGATTTCGGAATTCGGACCACTTCGCGCCATAAACCAAACATGTTGTGGCACTAATCCACGCCGCATGCACCTGCTGCCAAACTCACTATCTCATATAACACGTTCTTTCGAGCACTGTTTAAATCAGCTTTCTAACTAGGACTATGTGTCTGACAAGTCACAAGTTTCTCAGGGTGGACACGAGTGGAGGGATGCTCTGCTCGTGCCTGAAGAAGTCCTGGGGATCCACCTTCGCCTTCACGGCGGCAAGCCTCTCAAAGTTCGCCTTGAAGTACGCCTCCCCCCAAACCCTCGCCTTCCCATAGCTAGTCAGGCCATGGTCGTCGTCATCGTTGACACCGAGGTCCAGGTCCCTGTAGTTCACGTAGGCGCCCCTGGGGTTCTTGCTCACGTACGGCTCCATCTCCCGGTGCAGCCCCTTGATCCAGCCCACATGCTTCTCCTTCGCCTCTGTCCCGTTCTCGAACCAGAACCCGTAGTACTGGAGGTTGTAGAGCTCTCGCCGGTGCGGGAACGGCGTCGCTGATGGCGCGACGCTGCCCATCCTGCCGCCGTAGGGGTCCAGGATCAGGAGTCCGGCGCCGTCCTTGAGCAACCAGCTCCACGTGCTCTCCCACACGTGGCTCGGCATGGGTTCCGTCACGTAGTCCGACTTGGCCTTGAAGTAGCGCTCCGGCTTGGTTCCCCGGTCCAGGAGCTGCTCCATCGGCTTCCCCGTGCCGTAGAACGCGAAGTAGAGGACGGACTGGATCCATGTCATCTCGATGCAGTCCCGCGCCTTCACGCCGAGCTCCGGGAAGCTCCGGGCCATGGTGGCGACGAGGCCGGCGCACGTGCCGAGGTACAGGGACTCGAACTGTGCGTCCTGGTTCTGCAAGACGACGCGGAGGATGACGTCGCGGGGCATCGCCGGCGCCACCTGCTGCCACCTGGTGAGGAGAGCGGTGGCGGACTGGCTCCTTGGCCGGTGGACGGTGAACACTGTGACGACCGGTGGCACGCGCACCAGGCGCAGCTTCCAGGACAGCACGATGCCGAAGCTCCCGCCGCCGCCGCCTCGTATGGCCCAGAAGAGGTCCTCGCCCATGGCAGCCCTGTCCAGCAGCCTCCCCTTGGCGTCCACGATTACGGCGTCGATGACATGGTCCGCGGCGAGGCCGTGCTTCCGCAGCAGCAGCCCGAAGCCGCCGCCGCTGAGGTGACCTCCGACGCCCACCGTCGGCCCAACACCACCGGGGAACCCGAGGCGCGCGCTGTGGTCTGCGATGGCGTAGTACAGCTCGCCGAGCGTGGCGCCCGAGCCGACCCACGCCGTCTCGTTCCCGACGTCGACGCTGACGGCGCGGAGCCAGGCCAGGTCAAGGACGGCGAAGGGCCGCCCCGCGCGGAGGGAGCGGTAGGACAGACCCTCGTAGTCATGGCCGCCGCTGCGCGGGCGCACGCTGATACCGTGGCGGACGCCACAGCGCACGGCGGCCTGGACATGGGAGGCGTTGCCGGCCGCGACGATGGCGATTGGCTTCGGGGTCGCCGGCGTCACGAACAGCAGGTTCTTGATGGAGGACTCGAGGGCGATCGGGTACAACCGGGACGCGTTCGTGTAGACGGCTTGCGGAGGGAGGTGGACGGCGAGGCAGTGGAGGAAGGACGCGGTATCAGGCGACGGAGCAGCCGTGGCAGCAGCTGCCGGTGTAACCGAGGCCACATGCTGCACGATGGCGAAGTAAGCGGCGAGGAGTGTTGTTGCAAAGCTCCGGATGGCCATATCTTCTTTTTCTGGATCGTGGTTGACGAGGCAGGTTCGCCGATGCTAGCTACTTAAGCAAATTGGCAATGGAAATAAGCAGCTGGTGGCAGGGCCCGTCCCGAGAAGATCCCAGGCCGTGCGGCCGGCTGGAAAAATCATTTTTTTATTAGGCTCGTTAGTGGGCGATGCTACTGGGCCAACGAAACAATCAAACAAATATCTGCTATGTTTAGCTATATGGGTTATGGTACTAGAAAATTGGAGGCCTATGAGAATTGGAGGGCCTGCGCCGTCACCCAGGCTGCACGCCCCCAGGGACGGGCCTGCTGGTGGTGGTAAACTGGAACCTGACACCATTTGCCGAGAGGAAAGTGACGGCTCATGACTGCACGCATCCTGCACTTGGTTGGGCACACTTGGACTTGGCATGTAGTGCTGCAGCCTGCAGCTTGCATCTGTATCCTTGCCTGAGCCCTGAGAGCTGCCATGAGACAAAGTCTAGCGGAGAACACGAGAGTGAGGGTGTTGTTACTTAAACTTCCTTTAGCCACAGCGACAAACTGATCTTTGGTCCATTTGTACTGGGGAAGAGATGGGACAGAGCGCCGGCAATGGTTGTTGAAATGGACTAAGGGCACCCCGCAATGGCTCTTAGCCAACTTCTCAAATAGTGTTAACTTTAGCACATAGCTTTTAAACATCGATAACCCCACGTGACAATCTCACGTAACCTTAAAATGCATGTGGGCAAGAGTTTAGCTCTTGATCAAGAGTTAGCTTTCTCTCTCTTCTGTTAAATGAAAAAAATACTTAGAGCTAGCTTAATTTGGTCTCTACGTACGGATTCGAGTGTTTCATCGGTCACTCCCAACAACTCAATTTTGATCCACCTGATCCAAATTCAATTACCCTAGATTTGTTCAATAATATTGTACACTACTATTTATTTTTCCCTTGCCACCTAGTTGAAGCAACAATGCTCCATCCATCCATGCTGCGTATAGTAGTATATACTATATACTAGTGTGTCTAGATACTATATAGTAAAAGTAAATGTATATCTAAAAAAACTAAAACATCTGATAATTTGGAACAGAGAGAGTAGTAGCATAATAAATTAGACAGGAGATAGTGTAGCTAACAAGGTAACATTGGTAATATAATTAAGTAGTTCGCTGTGCATCATAAAGGTAGCAGTAGCACGGCTACACAAATATAGAACACGTTTTTTGGACAATGACATATAGCAACAGATAGGATAGTTGGCTGGACTATAAGTGATGGCATTGATAACTCATTTCCCCGCCATGTCTTTGGACTCACAGTCGAAGTCATAATTGCAATTGTGCATGTCGTTTCCACTGGATGATTCTGTAATATATACTGAACTAGATAATACCCCGCGTTGCTGCGGAAATTATGTAGCATTTGGCATAAGAAGAATTCAAGGGCAGAGAATTGATATGTACCATCTAAACCTCTATTGTGCAATGTCACGGTATTTGTATGAAAAATCAGATAAAAGAAATTTAATACTTAAATCGGACATAAATAGTAACAGTTTGTAATAAATTATTTACTTTTTATTAGTAGTAATAGCCTGGATGTATGGTTCTATGTCTGCAAATAAATTATAGTGAGGTGCTAAGGAATTTTGCAGTTAACCGCTTTTTTGGAGAATTAATAAATAAAGGGATATAATTATCATATAAACTAATAGGTTAATTCCTCAAGTGAAAGGATAATTTTGCATGATTATTATTTGATGGAAAAAAAACTTTTAAGAATTCAAAATAAATCTCATATAATAAAAGATCGGGAACACTGGAAATATAGTCAGCTTCAAGTTGTTTATTTTTTGCCCATTTTATGCATCCCAAAAAATGGATGAAGAAAGATGTATCAAATGTCATGACTCTTAATTTATTAGCTAGCACTCACTAATGCAACGTAGTATTCTCTGATGGACTTAGGCCTTGAAATCACCGTTTATTAATAATACACTACTGTTCAATCGCATTGCAGTAACTAATTTAAGCCATGTGAAGAAACATTATGCATAACGAATGTTCAGAATCTTGATTACTTGGTTCTCCAATATTTAACAGCAAAGCAACATATGGTTACAGTAAGGAACAGCCAATCATGGAATTTAGAACAAACTGAATGGATCTACCACACAGCAGTAGCGACATGGGGAATTGTCCTGCAAAAAGATCGAACAAATAGATAATCAGTTATCATGACTTCATGAGAATAGATTTTGCGGTAAGGAAGTGATGATGTCCTGATAATGAAAGAAATAGGAAGTATCATGTGCAGCATGGTCACTCATCCACATTGCGGTGCGCATGGGCTGGCATGTTTATCCATGGATGGACATCATCGTCTCTGTGGTAGAAGGTGGTGAATTTTATAAGAGAAACAACTAAGAGAGAGGAGCTGAATCATCACGAAAGGCCATGGAGTATGTTTTGGTGGCTTGGGACAATTTATACCATGAAAGGGCAATGATTGTGGCTGTTAGCCTCCCTCCCATACGGTGACAGGTGTTGAACTGAAGTATGTACTTAATGGAATGTAAGTGCCGCAATAGTTATTGGGAAACCAAGAGACTACAACATATCTGATGATCGTTGTTGCAATGACGAAAGTGGAGAGAAGCTAGCGGCCCGATGACGTGGCTTCACGAGATCACAGACAAATATGCTAGTGGGTTCCTCCTATTTAGATATAGTAGATGTGTGATTACAAGCAAATGCAAAGTGTAGGCACAAATAATCTGCTTACTGTAATCATGTTTTGAAGTTATCTCTATGGATTCTACATGTTTGTATATCACAATGTGAGGATAGAAGTGATCTGGAACTTTATTAATTGTATGTATTGGGAGGAATTGAATACCACCACTGAGGTCAATACTTACTTGTTCTCTATAGTGTGCAAACTAACGCAAATTAACACTACGCCAGATTTGCACATCATTGCGGCATCATCACTGCCGGATTTGTGAGAACCGGCAGTGATGTACCTTCACTGCCGGTTATGAGCTTGAAAATGAAAAAATGATTGGGGCTGAGTTAAAACCGGCAGTGAAGGACCACATCACTACCGGTTTGTGGCTTGAACCGGCAGTATTTTGGCGGCCACTCATTACTGCCGGTTTAAGTCAAGAGCCGACAGTAGGGATGAAAACGGATCGGATACGAACGGATATCACTCATATTATATTTGTTTTCATATTTCTGTTCGGATTCGGATTCGGACACGGATAGCGTTCGGATACATATACGAATACGGATTGACTCGGTTACGGATACGAATAATGAGTATCGAATACGGTATGAATCGGATTCGGAGAAGGTCGGATACAAATATCTATTCAGATATTGAGTAAAAGCAGCACTCTATGAGTCCATAATCCATCTAGATTAAGCCGAAAGACTAAAGAGTAAAGCAACAAATAAGATAAAGATACAGATACATCATACATCAAACATCATACAAGCACCAATCTTCGCGGCATGAGTAGAAATAGCCAAGCTCATGGCTTCATGGGTCTCATGGAGTCATTGTCATGGATTCAAGATCTACAATCCTTATATAGGCCATTTTTTATTTGAGAAAGTTTGAACAAAATGTAGTTCAAATTTCACAAGTGTGTGACATAGTTTCAGAAAGTCTATATGAGATTTAAGAATTTGTGACTAGTGTTTGACAAAACTTTCTCAAATAGGAAAATGAGCTATGTAATAATTGTATATCTTGCTGAGATGATCAAACTTGGTATTCAGAGTTTTTTCATCTGAGGTCATTTAGTGTCTCATTTGAGCAAGTTTGACCAAGTCAAATTTGGTTAAATGAAAAAACAACACTTTGACTCTAGTATTATGAACTCTAAATGACTTCAAATTGAAAAGTTTTGAATACCAAGTTTGTTCAACTCATCAAGATCTACAATTGTTGTTTTGGTCAACTTTCCATTTGAGATAGTTTGGACGGTTCAAATTTATGATTTTTATATTTCGACGTTTACAAACTAGTTTTCGGAACCCTAGATTGTCTCAAATTGAAAAGTTTTGAATACCAAATTTGTTCAGCTCATCAAAATCTACAATCCTTATATAGGCTATTTTTCATTTGAGAAAGTTTGAACAAAATGTAGTTCAAATTTCACAAGTGTGTGACATAGTTTCAGAAAGTCTATATGAGATTTAAGAATTTGTGACTAGTGTTTGACAAAACTTTCTCAAATGGGAAAATGAGCTATGTAATAATTGTATATCTTGCTGAGATGATCAAACTTGGTATTCAGAGTTTTTTCATCTGAGGTCATTTAGTGTCTCATTTGAGCAAGTTTGACCAAGTCAAATTTGGTTAAATGAAAAAACAACACTTTGACTCTAGTATTATGAACTCTAAATGACTTCAAATTGAAAAGTTTTGAATACCAAGTTTGTTCAACTCATCAAGATCTACAATTGTTGTTTTGGTCAACTTTCCATTTGAGATAGTTTGGACGGTTCAAATTTATGATTTTTCAATTTCGACGTTTACAAACTAGTTTTCGGAACCCTAGATTGTCTCAAATTGAAAAGTTTTGAATACCAAGTTTGTTCATCTCATCAAGATTTACAATCCTTATATAGGCTATTTTTTCATTTAAGAAAGTTTGAACAAAATGTAGTTCAAATTTCACAAGTGTGTGACATAGTTTCAGAAAGTCTATATGAGATTTAAGAATTTGTGACTAGTGTTTGACAAAACTTTCTTAAATGGGAAAATGAGCTATGGAATAATTGTATATATTGCTGAGATGATCAAACTTGGTATTCAGAGTTTTTTCATCTGAGGTCATTTAGTGTCTCATTTGAGCAAGTTTGACCAAGTCAAATTTATGATTTTTATATTTCGACGTTTACAAACTAGTTTTCGGAACCCTAGATTGTCTCAAATTGAAAAATTTTGAATACCAAGTTTGTTCAGCTCATCAAAATCTACAATCCTTATATAGGCTA